ATGATTACCATTCCAAAAAAGTGAGGACTAAAGCGACTTTTTCTGGTTGAAGATTCATTTAAAAACGTCAGAAAGCTCTCAATTCAACAACAGCCAACTTCGGAAAATCATAATCCTACAAGAAAAGAGGGATATGTTCAAATAAAAAAGTGTATCGAAGGTTTCACAGAAAAAATTACTAAATAAAACTTTCAACTTGAACAGAAAAAAAACGACTAGCAACAAAAAAAAGATCACTGGGCAATTTTTAAAATTGAACCCATGCCCCACAAAGCAAAACACCCATTAATGAGTCAACATTTTCAGTAGCTTTTTACATTGTACTAGAAGAAATAAAGAAAATTTTTTCTAAATTGACGATTGCCAATCCAGGCTTTTTATATTCAGAAAGGTAACCAACAATTCAGAGATCACTGAACATATTGTTACATAATTCAAAGCAACGAATTGTTGGTAACTTTCCACACCCCAAACTATAACACAACTTACTATTCATTTCTCCCGTATAACAATTACTCGGCACTTCGTTACCCATATATTTCTCGCAAAAAAAGTTGATAAAGACGTCCCACAAGAGAAAAAACGAAAAATTATTATTAAAAAACCTCAAAAAAGAACAAAGTAAGACCTACGTAAAGAATATCAGCCCAACTGCATCCATATATTATACAAATATATGTAATGTCTCATATAAACAGTGAAGAACCTGTTAAAAAACAAAGTGTAAAATTCCGGTAGAACGCTAGGGTCCCTGGTGCACTTTTTTACTTTCCGAATACTATAACTGCAAGGGTTTTGCTAAAGTTCCGCTCTTGACATAATTTCATAATCTTCAGAAAGTCTCTACAGGTCTCCTACTTCAGTAAAGCCTCAGAAAAAGTAAGCGATTCAAAGAAACGTTTATAAATATTAGAAATATTAGAAGTGAGGCATGATTTTTTGGAGACTACGCCAAAAAAATTTTTTACTGAACGGCAGCAATTTTTCAACAATATTGCTGTCTGCACTATACGTGAGCATAATAAAATTATTAATGAGTCGCAAAAACTTCCTTATACAACTAGTAGGTAAGTGAAGAAAAATAATGCCACGGAATTGGCAAACTGTTAAACTGACGACGACTGGCAGACCCCTAAAAACGAGTAGTAAAAAAAGTTCCAACCTTCCACGTAGAAATCGCTTATACATTATATATATATATATATATATATA